ATATATATATATATATATATATATATATATATATATAACTAATAATCGTTAAGTTTAAATATAAAATTTATTTTTACAGCTAAATTAACCAACTAATTTATTGAGCTTAGTCTGTTTTATTTTTTTAATGATAAATATCAGTTTAGCCATGTAGGTCCAACCATGGTTTTCAACAGTTTAGCGGACATGGCACATTACAAAAATACATAATTCCAACCAAAAAAATTTGATTTTTACATTTTATTTTTTACTTAGATCAACTACAACAACAACAAAAAAACAAAAAAAATTGCAACACATAGCATTACATCACATTTTTTAAAATAATTCAAATGATGATGGACAATTGCTCTTTAGTGTCATACTGTACTTTAGAGTAAATTATAATTATCAGTAAATTATTTTTAACTTCTTTTTTTTTATTTTTTATTTGTTTAGGTTTTCCACTTTAATTTGCAGAGTTAAAACACATATTAAAAATGGATATTTGTATCCATTAAATTGTTTAAAACAACGATTAGCCAAACGGAAACTTGTAGAAACCTTATGGGATCCTGAATCTGACCATTCGTGGCCTTCCTTTTCTTTGTGCTTGGCAGATGAGAATGTATTTTCTTATAAACCAAATAAAATAAATGTAAAGCATGACAGAGTGTTCAGAAATAACTGTCAAATTGCAATGAGTCAAACAGAGCTTTATTGATGCACATCTTTTTCTGGGAAGTTTTATCTACCTCTTTACACCTGTCACTTCTTGGTTTTTGTTTTGCTGAGAGGATGGGGGGGGGCAAGCGTTGGACTAGCACCAGTCTCTAATTCTTAAATTGTCAAAATTGTATACGAGTCCAATCACAGTTTCGCCATGATTTATCGACCTGAAACGTCCTTGATCAATAACCTTCAGCATTCTTGATCAATGACCTTCAGCAAACTCGATCTTGGTTTGTTTTGTTCAATTCTTCCCCCCTGCCTAAGATAACATATTTAAATGGGACCAATGGCGTCCTTTGGTTGTTGTGTCAGTGGGTGTGCTAAACTCATGATGTATTCCCCCTCCTCCCCCACTCTTTCCAGACTTCTACCGGCAGTGCCCTACCATGATGTGACGCAATCTGCTCTAATGAAACCCTTCTCAGCTCAATGGCACCATGCTCTGACTGATGGCATTATGCACTGTCCGGTTGCACTCTGCTCTGTCTGTTTACACTCTGATCTGTCTAGTGGCACGCAGCGCTGTCTGGTGGCACCCTGCCCTATCTTGTGGTACTCTATTCTGTTATGTGGCACTCTGTTCTGATCGCATATACTTATATTTATCTGACTTCGGTTTAAATTAAATCTAGCAAACTTTGTCAAGCTTGTAGTTTTTTTGTTGTTGTTCTTTTTTGGTGCCGCCTACCCGTGAGGCTGTCACCCAGTGCGGTCTGTGCCCATGACCTCTGTATTCTAGTGATGCTACTGCATGAGTCCACCACATGCATGCATGGTCACAGCCATAGTCAAGGTCCCACCACAGATATACATGGACTTGTCAACTTGGCACGCCATGCTGTTAATGGGATTCAATTTAAGCAAATGATATGAATGGATTTCAACCGACAGCCTTGTCGGCACTCGTGTCATGGTATGAAGCGGAACACAATGACAAGCATTCTGAAATGTTTCATATCAACGAATTAAGTGTCTTCTTATCCGTAGCCACCACCGCAATAGTTGAAGAGATCTTGAGCAGCGCTGTGCGGATGGTTGCAGAACGGCAGCTTCTTTCTGTCCAGGACGTAAACCGGTGCCCCGCTGGTGCCCTTGCACGTGTCCGCGTCGTACGTGTACTGCGTGAAACCGTTCTTGTCCTTGTCCTTGTGCTGCCACGCCCCAAAGGTCACCCGCTTGGGGTACCCGTGGGGATGGGACACTATGATCGTCAGGCGCTTCTCGTCTTCCGGGACGCCGCTGAACTCCTGCACGACGCTCTCGGTGATGCTCTTGTAGTCGGCCACGCACTTCGCCAGCCTGTTGGCCAGAGCCGCGTCGTGGGTGCAGAACAGAACGTTGCAGCGGTCTTCTTCGACAAACGTACCACGTTTGGCGATCCCGTAGCCGTCCAGAGTGACCAGGCTGCTGTCTTCGCTGTCGTAGCCGACCCGGCACGTGGTCTCCACGGCTTCCTCTTTGTTGAACACCACGTGGGTGGCCGTGACCACGCCCACCCTCCACCAGTCTTCCTTCGGATCGGACGATGCCTGGCATTCGCGACACGGGCAGGTCCCGTCTTCGTAAGGATCTTTCTCGTTTACGAATCGAATCCGCCCGCTTCCGAATCGATAGCGTCCGTCATGTTTTCCCTCACCGAAGGGGTATTCGAAATTCGTACCGGGGAAGACCGATGGTCTCTTGGAGCTGACTTTGTTCAAAGAGAGTCTGACAGTGACGTCACGTAGACACTCGGTCAGCGTCAGGAGTGACGGACGCCTGAACTCCTCCGGGAAGTGGCTGAGCTCCAGGCTGGTCACGGGGATAAAGTTTGCATGTGTTGGATTTTTTTGGCAATTTTGGAATCGATCTGGCAGACCCTGGTCCCCTTCAAAAGTCCACTCAGTCTCGTATGTGTCTGTGGAGAGATTTAGGGCTCGTTAAATCGACATTTTTTTACATGCAAAACCAAAGTTGTCGCATTTGCTTTCGTTTTATTAAAAAGGTTGTTTTTGCTATAATTTTTTTTTTAATTTATTATTAGAATTTTGCTTCAACGCGAGACGCCGTCACATCACTAACAGGTTATACTACACACAGGACGCCGTCACATCACTAGCAGGTTATACTACACACGCGACGCCGTCACATCACTAGCAGGTTATACTACACACGGGACGCCGTCACATCACTAGCAGGTTATACTACACACGGGACGCCGTCACATCACTAGCAGGTTATACTACACACGGGACGCCGTTACATCACTGGCAGGTTATACTACACACGGACGCCGTCACATCACTGGCAGGTTATACTACACACGGGACGCCGTCACATCACTAACAGGTTATACTACACACGGGACGCCGTCACATCACTAGCAGGTTATACTACACACGGGACGCCGTCACATCACTAGCAGGTTATACTACACACGGGATGCCGTCACATCACAATCAGGTTATACTACACACGGGACGCCGTCACATCACTGGCAGGTTATACTACACACGGGACGCCGTCGCATCACTAACAGGTTATACCACACACGGGACGCCGTCACATCACTAACAGGTTATACCACACACGGGACGCCGTCATATCACTAACAGGTTATACTACACACGGAACGCCGTCGCATCACTAACAGGTTATACCAGACACGGGACACCGTCATATCACTAACAGGTTATACTACACACGGGACGCCGCCACATCACTAGCACGTGATACTACTACATACCTGCCTAACTGAAAATGTGTGTGTTATTCGATTTTTATCCCACCATCACACAAACATCTTTTTTTAAAACAATGAGTGTTTCCTGAATATCTTGAAAGTTGTGTTCTATTAATTAGACATTCTGTATTGCCATCTGTGATTGGTTCTTATTCTTGCGTCCATAATCTGAAGCCCAGTCAAGGTTAAGAGTTACGAATGTACCTTTTTTTAAAATCTAAAATAAAGGTAGTAAAACCGAAAAATGCAGGTCTCGTGTGGGTCTCGTTTGGGACTCGTTTATTGTGGCGTTAAAAGATCATAATTAAATGTATTCTAAAAATCAAACTTTTTTGAAATTGTTGAAAAAAGATATAATTGTTTACTTCAAATGATAATTTGAGGGTGTTAATGACTACAAACCATTTATTTGGCTCAGTTAGCAGGTGCGATTAATGAAGTAACGTTATAGTTCTGAAACCGGTAACAATAAACATGTGAGTTATGAAACTGTTGATGAAAAACATATGAGTTATGAAATTGGTGGCGACAAACATATGAGTCATGAAACTGTTGACGACAAACATATGAGTTATGCAATTGATTTAAAAGATGATCTTCGTCATATTTACCATTCGCACTCCTCACAAAATGGGTGCTGTAGGTGGCGCTATTTCGCCATGATGCCTGAAGTTGGCCTGGGGACATGCGACAAAGTGCTTATTAAGCAACAATACTCCCATATCTTATATGATAATAAAATTGGATAAAAAAAATTAATTTGCAGCAATTCTTACATTTCTACTTGCTCACGGAAGCGGTAACAATATATAGTTTTTTTGTTTTTAAAATCTAAGTTCACCAAAAAATGCGTTTCAATTTGTGTATTAATTTTCAGAATTTCAGAATTGACAAGCCTGCTCCTCTCTCCGACCCCCTCCCGGCGGTTACAAAATCTAATTAATAATACTTCAATTCAATATTTCCTCTAAAATGGGGGGCTGGGGGGGGGGGGGATTTTTGGCTCGCATAGGTTGGCTAATAATTGCCCTTGGGGAATCCTAAAGACTTTTTGGTTTTTATTTTTTTTATTTTGAAAAAAAATGTTGCCTTGGTATAGGAGTATGTATCTATGTGTTGGCAATGCATATGTACCATGTCATCTAGAAATACATTTCTATTTACTTTGATCAATGAAAGTAGCGTATCTTATTTTTATAGTATCTTATATATGATGGCCACCTCACCAAAATGCAGTCGGTATTTTTCATACCCCTGGGTATGTCACTACCCCTGAACTATACTAATATTCAAACGTCCCAAACACTTTTACGTCGTAAACTTAAGACACTATATTTAAATCGAGAAAATTTCCGTCTAACAAAAGAAAATATTTACGCACCAAACACACTTAGTGTATTTCAAAGAATCATATTTAGCGCGGTAATCGGAAATTATAAAAAAAAGAATTCGCGCTATTGAACTGACCATAACACCATAACTAGAGAATGCCATGCATTGATGCTAGAAGTGAACTCACTTGCAGCACTTCGCCACTCATTGACAAGACTTGACCTGCGCGCCATGTTTGATGTTGACCAAAGCAGTGACATGGCGTTGTTCCTCCACCGAGTATCTCTCATTGACTTCTAGAGCGTACTGGAATAAAGTGAACGATAACAATAAAGATGTGTGCATGGTTCACACCAGCCTCTCCACCCCTCACCTTTTCAAACGATGTTTCCATCGCATCATTAGAAATTAGTAGAGGGAACTAATCGTGCATCGTATTCGACATATCTATTAAAAATTTTACCTCCCTTTGAACCTTTAAAATAATTCTTTATTTTTTTTTAAAATAAATTTAAAATGCACTTCCTATACTGCCCACAATAACTTTTACTGTAATCATTTGATTTTCTGAGTTGTATTTGCGTGTTGTGTTACATTTCATGGAATGAAAAAAAACACGTTATTTTTATTTATTTATTTTTTAAAACTTTAATTCATTTTTTAATTCAGTTTTTTCATAAAAACAATAAATAACTATATCTTAATAAATAATTCATGTTGTTTTTTTTTGTTGGTTTTTTTTTTTGTTAGCGTTTAAAAGACATAAGTAACATGCAAAATAAACAGTTAAGAAAAAATATATTGTAATCCATAAAATATTTGTAAAAAATAAAAAAACGTTCAAACCTAAAGATAACATAACACAATTTTATTTTTTTTATTTACACAATTGAAAAGTGTGCGAACTTACCCAAAAATACCCAGCCCCGCTGTGATAAATGTGTCTTTATTTTCTTAGAAGATACGGTGAGGCATAGATTTATAAGGATAAAATACAGGCATATATTTATAAGGATAAAATACAGGATCGCCGTCCTCATGCGTTCCTCCGGGACTCGAGCCCCCGATTCTCTCCACTATAAAGTTGTAACCAGCTACATACCTTTGTTAAAGATGTATTATCCACTGTTTTACAAAATAATACCGTGAATGGCCACACAGCTTAATTCAGTACACACTACACGGTATTTTCTACAACAATTTTTTTTTTTAAATACGCACACACTTTTCATTCACCGTAACACAGAATATTCCACTTAAACATTGTAACTCAATCCACTGCTACACACTTTAATTTAGTAACGATCTCACCCAACCTGACTCGGACGGTCACCATGGGAAGTATTGGAAATTCCCGGACTCACACTGATCATGTCTGTAATTCCAATAACACTTCAACACCGTTCAATACTCAAGTATTACCTGTCATCCAATGGGGACACTTAGGCCTCCCCCCCCCCCCCCCCCCCTTTTTATAAAGATTAGGCCCGTATGTAGTGCAAATCCTACCAACCCATTTAAAAAAAAAGAGAGACCCATTATTTTTTATTCGCAAATATATCCCGAACAGGATGTGATATTTGCTTCAGTTAAAAACAATGTTGATTGTTAAAAATGTAAGTGACTTTCATAGCAAAACTAAAAGATACATTGAATTGGTAACAGACCTACCTTTTTAAAATAAAAACAGTTGAGGACGACACAGTAATGCATAGGAATACACAACTAAATATTAATAACTTCCAAACTCCAGTCGCCTTATATACTGCCCGGACCTAGGTCGTTTGCCAGGTTGGAAAACCTACACGTCCTTTCTATTTATAGACTGCGAAAAATCCCCGAGCTTGGAAACGGTGAACGGTAATATGAGCAAGATTCTATTTTTAGATAGAAGCTTGGTTTTTATTTCCTAAACACAAACCATAAAGTTCGCCTCCTTGGTGTACGTTGTCTTTCTTTGTAAAATCGAATGTCGTATAACAATGAATATATATATATATATAGTATGCTTTACTGGATGCATTATTTTCTACTGTAAATATAGATGTAAATCTTAAAAATTTAGCATATTTTTTTTTTAAAATGAAGTCATGCATTAGACCAGTGGCTCTCAACCTCGGTAACCCCACGATCCTTTAATACGGTTCCTCATGCTGTGGTGACCCCCCCAAACCATAAAATTATTTTCGTTGCTTCTTCATAAATATGTGTTTTCCATTGGTCTTAGGCGACCCCTGTTGTAATGGTCGTTTGGACCTCCACCCCCCCCCCCTCGCCCAAAAGGGATCGCGGCCCACAGGTTGAGAACCACTAGAAGATTCAAAACTGAATTTCTGATGCAACCCTCCGGGACACGTAAGCTCCTAAGACGGGGTGAGGGAGGGCATGGGGGGGGGGTGGGGGGACATGGGCTGACATTGACCTGTTCTGAACGCTGACATGTAAGCCCGACTAAGAATAACTGTACTGCACCTGGTGGCTGTTCGTAAGCCGTGTTCATTGGGCCGTGACCGGTTTTTGTTTTCTACCTACAAATACCATAATGAGACTGGTAACTTCACCGTCAAATAGCAAACTGAAAATTGATCAAGAAATGGCTTAACTGTGACTATTTTTTTTTTTTTGGCTCTTGGTGGACTAAATTCTGGGATGTTTGGTAGCTTCAGCGATAAAATGCCACCCCTATCAATCTCTAAATCTGCCTACGCTATCTTCCTTCCGTCTGCCAACATAGTGTAATATGTATGCCTAACTATCTGTCGTCTGCCCACCCAGAAACACTTTTATCGATCTCTAATAGGTCTATATGTGCGGTAAATTGTGGAATCTCTGGTGGATTCAGCAATAGAATGTCACGCCTATCTATCTCTAAATCGGTCTATCTTCCGTCTGACTATGTAGTATAGTATAGTATATCCATCTGTCTATCTCTTATAAATATATCTCTGATTGCAGTCTCTCCCCTTATTACCCTATCTATCTCTTATATGTCTATCAGTCGTCTGCTAACCCAGAATCACTTTTATCTATCTCCAATCTCTCTACATGTCGTCGGCCAACCTAGAGACAGATCTATCTATATCGTATGTGTCCACCTAGCTATCGTCTGCCACCCTAGAAACAGATCTATATATATCGTATGTGTCCACCTAGCTACCGTCTGCCAACCTAGAAACAGATCTATATATATCGTATGTGTCCACCTAGCTGTCGTCTGCCACCCTAGAAACTGATCTATCTATGTCCTATGTGTCTACCTAGCTATCGTCTCCAACCCTAGAAACAGATCTATCTATATCGTATGTGTCCACCTAGCTACCGTCTGCCAACCTAGAAACAGATCTATATATATTGTATGTGTCCACCTAGCCATCGTCTGCCAAAAAAAAAACTATGTGCCTGCATACCAACTTAAAATTCATCCAAATACCTGCCTGCCATAGTGTCAGACTGCATACCAATACAAAATGCATACGACCATGTTATGTATGTCGATAATTTTATACAACACTCTATATCTCTGTATCTTTCCCTTTATAACTACCTATAGGTCTTCCCCACATCGTGATCATGCCATCTCTTTAAATGCCACTATCTCTTCTCACTACGCTTGCACCTCGCTCTACGTACGAAACTTTTTTTCATGTGTGTTGACATCCACGCACCAAACTAGATTTGGGGAACGTACCGCGATGCACTGCGCCTGCGTGCGTGTTAATTGTTGTTGCGTCGCATTTATTGGAACACGACGCAACGAATGGTGTGTGTGCGCGACAAACGAGTGGTGTGTGCTACCAACGAGTGGTGTGTGCTACCAACGAGTGGTGTGTGCTACCAACGAGTGGTGTGTGCTACCAACGAGTGGTGTGCTCGTCCAACGAGTGGTGTGTGCTACCAACGAGTGGTGTGTGCTGCCAACGAGTGGTGTGCTCGTCCAACGAGTGGTGTGCTCGTCCAACGAGTGGTGTGCGCTACCAACGAGTGGTGTGCTCGTCCAACGAGTGGTGTGCGCTACCAACGAGTGGTGTGCTCGACCAACGAGTGGTGTGTGCGTCCCACGAGTGGTGTGTGCTACCAACGAGTGGTGTGTGCTACCAACGAGTGGTGTGTGCTACCAACGAGTGGTGTGTGCTACCAACGAGTGGTGTGTGCTACCAACGAGTGGTGTGTGCTACCAACGAGTGGTGTGTGCTACCAACGAGTGGTGTGTGCTACCAACGAGTGGTGTGTGCTACCAACGAGTGGTGTGTGCTACCAACGAGTGGTGTGTGCTACCAACGAGTGGTGTGTGCTACCAACGAGTGGTGTGTGCTACCAACGAGTGGTGTGTGCTACCAACGAGTGGTGTGTGCTACCAACGAGTGGTGTGTGCTACCAACGAGTGGTGTGTGCTACCAACGAGTGGTGTGTGCTACCAACGAGTGGTGTGTGCTACCAACGAGTGGTGTGTGCTACCAACGAGTGGTGTGTGCTACCAACGAGTGGTGTGTGCTACCAACGAGTGGTGTGTGCTACCAACGAGTGGTGTGTGCTACCAACGAGTGGTGTGTGCTACCAACGAGTGGTGTGTGCTACCAACGAGTGGTGTGTGCTACCAACGAGTGGTGTGTGCTACCAACGAGTGGTGTGTGCGTCCAACGAGTGGTGTGTGCTACCAACGAGTGGTGTGCTCGTCCAACGAGTGGTGTGTGCGTCCAACGAGTGGTGTGCGCTACCAACGAGTGGTGTGCTCGTCCAACGAGTGGTGTGTGCGTCCAACGAGTGGTGTGCGCTACCAACGAGTGGTGTGCTCGTCCAACGAGTGGTGTGTGCGTCCAACGAGTGGTGTGCGCTACCAACGAGTGGTGTGTGCTGCCAACAAGTGGTGTGCTCGTCCAACGAGTGGTGTGTGCGTCCAACGAGTGGTGTGCGCTACCTACGAGTGGTGTGCTCGTCCAACGAGTGGTGTGTGCTACCAACGAGTGGTGTGCGCGTCCAACGAGTGGTGTGTGCGTCCAACGAGTGGTGTGCGCTACCAACGAGTGGTGTGTGCGTCCCAGGACATGTGTGTGCCACGCATGATGCACTTATATACTACGTTTTTTTTTTGTATATCTGTTTCTGTGTATGTGAAATCAAACAATACATTTAGTGAAGAGTTGTTTATGTTCGTATTAAATATGTTGGTTTTTTTATATAATTTAAATTAAAGGTGTTTTTCATACCATGTACAGATTAGAAGAATAATGACAGAAGCGTGGAAAAATTGGGCGGTTGCGAGTCTTGTGGTGGGGGGGGGGCACAATTTCTTATAAAGTGTGTTCCTTGCTTGCATGTTTGGTCAAATGATGAGCCCCCCCCCCCACACCCCTTTTCCCCCAATCGCTCGAAATTATTTGTTATAAAAGATATATCCGAAGAAAAAAGTGGAAAAATTGGGGGGTTGGGGGTTTTGGGGTGGGGGGGGGGCACAATTTCTTATAAAGTGTGTTCCTTGCTTGCATGTTTGGTCAAATGATGAGCCCCCCCCCCCACACCTCTTTTCCCTCAATCGCTCGATATTATTTGTTATAAAAGATATATCCGAAGAAAAACTTTGTTTTTAAGGGTTATTCAATTCATTTGTATAGCTGCTCACATCAATAAAAGACACAAAAGTAAACCATCGGGTCCAGGCGTCCCCCATGGCCCAAAATGCGTTTCTTCAACCCCCAGAAGATCAATCTCAGGGAGAAATCTTCAAGAAAACATTTCACAATTCCTTATTGTTACCGGCGTCTCACCACTTGTGACACGGCCACGCTCGCCCAACTTCCTACAAGAAAGTCTGGACGCCTATGCGTGTGAAACCTTTGGAGCATATTTATTAAATTTTTTTAAGCCGACTATTTCTTGCGAAATATAATGATATAGCCTTTTGGTTTTTACATTTATTAGTGCATTAGCGAAGCTATTGGGTGGCAGTGGTCATGACTCATGAGTGGCAGTGGTCATGACTCATGAGTGGCAGTGGTCATGACTCATGAGTGGCAGTGGTCATGACTAATGTGTGGCAGTGGTCATGACTCATGAGTGGCAGTGGTCATGACTCATGAGTGGCAGTGGTCATGACTCATGAGTGGCAGAGGTCATGACTCATGAGTGGCAGTGGTCATGACTCATGAGTGGCAGTGGTCATGACTCATGAGTGGTCAAGAACCAGCTTTTTACGTGTGGTGAAAGTTATAAAACTTCCGTGAGATCATCAGTGTCTCGGGTTCCTTTAGAATGGACTGACGACATTGTCGATGCAACGGGACAATTTTTTTTTTTTTTAACAATGGGCTATGAAGAACTCTTTCAAGTGTTTGACACAAGGGAAGGCAAGGGAGGTGATCCCCCCCCCCCCCCCCCCCCGGTTAAAAAAAAAAAAAANGTTAGAAAAGAAATAAAGTAGCGTTTCTCAGCCTGTGTGACGCGACCCCTTTTGGAGTCGCACGACCCTTTCACGGGAAAAAGGGGGGGGGGGGGTCGGCTAGGACCGTCGGAAAACACATATTTATGAAGTAGCCACACAAAATGAGAAACTGTATGAAAAAGGGTCGCGGTATTAGGAAGATTGAGAACCTCTAGCTTAAAGCCACAGGGAGTGATTTTTTACATGTCTACATTTCTCTTTCCCCCTGTGGATTCCAATCCTGTAATTTCGCAGTTTATTGTTGTTTCTCTGAATCTCTCTAAAAATGTATACGTTAAAATAAAAAGTAGCTCTTGGTGAGATCATTTAGCTTAAAGTTTTTGAACA